ATTGTTAAGCCCGAGAGATATAGCGCCGCCAATAATATTCCCGAAATTACGGAAAGTGAACCAAGTCGCGATGTATCGCCCTCTCTTGTGCTCCTCAGGATAGCCGGTAGCAATAGCTCCCTCGACGCCCCAGAAAAATCCTGCGCTGATGCCACAGGTAACTGCGCCGACATAAACGAGCCACGTAGATCCGAATCGGTTATTGACGTAGAGGCCAGCGGCATACAGCGGATAGCCGAGCGTACCCAAAGATAAAGTGGAGCGAAATCCTACGGCATTTGTCAACCATGGTGAAGCGAAACATGTCACCGTCATGAACGCATATAATAATGCGTTAGCGGCGTTAACAAGGTCGGGACTCTGCGAGCCCCCCACGCCGAGACCGTTCATAGCAGTCCATATTCCGGGTGCTGAGAAGGCACATATTCCCACGACAAGGATCTGAAAAAGCGTGCGGCGAAAGAATGGAATGCGATTTAAACTCGAAGGGGTGCTGTCCGCATTTGCGACAGTGATTGAAGTCTGCGCAGTTTTATCGAGCCCATCTTTGGCGGCAGCTAGCTCGTCGGACATGGTTGATAATGTTAGAGAGCGGTAGAGGATATCTTAGGTAGGTTAGGTACTTTTCAGTGAGTAAGGTAAGCTAGGAAGACCTCAGGTAAATATTTAGTTGACGGTTCTTTAGACTTTTAACCACAAGAATGTGGAAGAAGTGCCACTTATAAGTCAATGCCTAGATACTCTCGTCGCTTTCTTACCTTAGTGTATGTCAATCTCATAGGTGATAGAACCTGACCTCGGTAAGCTACACCTTATAAAATTTGTAGCTCCTCGAATTTTACCTCTTGCCTTGGCGTTACCTTGGATGGGATATTCGCGAGATGCTAGATGTCTGACGTGCTGCTCGTTAGCAGGGGACGTAGCCCATTGGGAACCCCTAAATAGACACCATGCTTCTTCCATATGTCCAACGTCCGATAAGAGCCCCAAGGGACGCGGGGTTATCAAGATTGGCAGTCCCCATTACCACCTCACTAGAAGTTAAATGTGGACGGTTTCAGGGTGCTCCAAGCAATGACGTGATTTTAGCTCAGAAATCGACTAAGTTCGATTGGCTTTGTATGGTAGGTATGATATGATAGACCGCAAGCTATCGGCAACGAAACATAAGTGACCTGATAAAGATTATCCCTACTATATCATCTTGATTCTGAATCATATTAGTTTAGGGAGAATTAAACTTCCTAAAGCCTTCCTATAATCCGTAAAGTCCTAATCGGTAATATTAACCGTCATGACTACCACTCTGAAGCAGACGACGATACCGGGGTTTGACACCGGGAGGATAACCTCGCCATTGCTAAGTTTCGAGCAATTCGATCTTCCATCAAGCAATCAACGCATACTTGGGCCACCTCATCCAGAAGGGACTGTTACCCCTCTGGCCCTACGTCCCTCAAACCCTCATGATACAGAACCTGATCTCGATACTGTCATTGAGACAGTGAAATATTTACAAGAACAAGGTGGTATTCTCACTAAAAAGTTGGCCGTTCATGGAACACTGTTGTTCCGAGGGTTGCCAATTCACGACGCGAATGAATTCAGCAGATTTGCCCATGCTTTTGGTTATAAGCCGCGGTATGTTTAGAGGCATCCTAGATTAAGGCACCGCTGGAACCCCTTTGGTTCTCGGTAAAGCTTAAGAAACTAACCTCTTTGCAGTATGTCTTAATATATCTAATTTCCGTATATGTTATCACCTACCCCTCTACCCCCTCTACCCCCCCTTTTACCCCTAATGAGAAAATAAAACATGACATATTTAAATTTATCTAGAATATTAACACAGAGTAGATGAAATCATTGGAATTGTGGTCGATAGACCACTACTTGCGCCCAATGTAGCTCCAGCAAATGAATCGCCAAAGGAAGTCCTGATCTACAATCACAACGAGTCCCCACAAGTACCTCATGCCCCTGAGTACATTTTTTTCTATGGGCATAGCGTTGCCAAGAAAGGCGGAGAGACGCCAATCTCCTCGTCACTAGAACTCTTCCATCGAGCTCAACAGGAAATCCCCGAGTTCATTGATGAGCTCGCTAAGAAAGGGATTCTCAGTAGGGTCACATACAAAGTCGACAAGCAGTATGCTGGTGGCTCGACGCTGAAGCAGGCTTTCGGAAAGGAGATCAAAGACGGAGACGACGAAGCGACGAAGCGAGCGAAAATCGAGGCTCAGATTGCTCGATACGGTAGGGGGAAATACACCACTTGGGAATGGACCGACGACGGCGTCGTCCTGACACATAGGCTTCCCGCCGCCCGTACGCAGCCTGGCACAGGCCTACCGACGCTCTTCACCGGACTAGCTGCATACTGGAAGAATGCTCAAGTCAACGGGGCCAGGTCGAACCCGACGCAGCAACTCTTCGGAGATGGCACGCCGATTCCGGAGGAGCATCTCGCACGGCTTGCGAAGATTACGGACGAGATTCGCGTGCTACATAAATGGCAGCGAGGGGATGTTTTGGTTTACGATAATGTTATTGCCCAACATGGACGCGAGCCATGGGAAGGCGAGCAGTCCGATCGAGTCGTCATGGCGAGTTTGTTCGATGGAGATCAAGTCCCTGGCGCGTACATTTCGGAAGACTGGGCTCAGGTTATGCAGGCGCTTGAAGGGTAGTTGGTATGTGTGGTTGACACAACCAACATATTCGGGTATCTGTCATAAATACCAGGCGACAATCATACTACGCCCTAGAAACATAGGGTCTATGAAGTCGAGCTGCGCCAAATTCAATTCCTAGCGTTAGACCCCCACATATAGAGGCACCTAGTAGGGGTAAATAGGGGGATTTCTTGAAAAAGGGGCAGGTAGTACTTAGTTCGGGCTACTTACCTACACGTACACCTTTACAAGGGCCTCTGGACCTTCTTTGGGCACTTCATAATATATGCCATGTGTTTATAGTAGTATTGTCACACAAATCCTTGTCATTGGTTGTAGTTAGAATTCACCCGGCCCCTTTACCCGCATCCCGACCCTTCGATGGATGAACCGTACAACAACCGAGGACACGTCTAACACTCCAAAGCCTCAATTTAGAATCTCGACATCGAAGATCCTCTAAGTCAACGGTAAAACGAAAGTACGGCGCGCGATTGTAAGATGCGCGTCCTTCTGGACGTTCGTGCGTGATGTCGCCTTACCACAGAGTTTTCGCGGCAATATGCGTCGTCGCTCCTCTCATTTATATATACTGGTGGAGATTCACGAACCCCAGCACACCAGGAGGCTTTGGAGGCTTGTCCGTCGGAGAAGATGTGTTTAATAAGACGCTAGGCGTAAGACTTCTTTTCCATCCTCCCCCCTCTCGTTTTTCGTGTAATCTTAACCTAACTCCACCCAAAGTTCTCGAAGATATTCGTTATAAATCTGCCATATCGGACAGATCGTCGAGATGCAATGGCACTAGCAGGTGCAGTCAGCAACCTCACTTTCACCTGGATTGATGGCCTGTCAGGAGATCAAGTGCCAGACAGCGTCGTGTCGCTCGGCCAAGGAGGGCGCTCTGCTGGGGCCAAGGGATCCTGGAGATCCCACATGAATGCGCTACAAGCTGTTGTAAGAGACAACCTACAAAGCGCTCTTATCATGGAGGATGATATCGACTGGGATATACGTATAAAATCACAGCTTCAGGCCTTCGCATCGGCTTCGAGGATTTGGTTGAGGGAGTCAAAGTCTGATAAATATCAAAATGAGTTGCTCGACCTCGTTCCACCCTCACTGGTTAGGAAGAGAAATGATGCAGCTGCCGCGGTTAGGGATTCTGAAGGGAACACCATGCAATTGAATTCTGTTACAGGAGTCGATAGCAAAGCTGGTCAATCTGTGTACGGGGATGATTGGGATGTCTTATGGCTCGGCCATTGCGGCGCCGGTTTCCCTTCCGAACGATCTTCGATTCCGCCTCTGAGAATCGCGATCCCAAATGATGCGACCGTCCCAGCCCCGAAACATCTCAAACCTCATCCATTTGCTCTCCAAGACAAGCTTGGCGAAGTGTATCCACCGCACACCCGCGTTGTCCATGCGTCGAGCGGGAATGTCTGCAGTCTAGCTTACGCCGTTAGCCATCAGGGAGCTCGCAAGCTGCTCTCGGAGTTCGACGCCCACTATCACACGCAGTGGGACTTGATGTTGCAGAAATGGTGCGAAGGGAAATATGCTACAACAAGTCCATATCGTGCGGATGCAGAGAAAGGAGATAAAAAGCTCCGAGAGACCTTACCAGTTTGCATTACAGTACAGCCGCCCTTCTTCAGTCACTATTACGCCAAGGGTGGTAGCTCCAACATTCAAGGCCAGGGTGGCGGGTACGCAAAGGGTACAGGATCACCATACATACGATTGAGTGTGCGAGAGAACTTGAAGCGCTTAGTTGCTGGGGCCTCGGAAAGTGAGATGGTAGACCAGCTGCCTGATGACGGTAGGGCCATATGGGGGTAGGTCAGGGTTTCGGGTCGCCATGAGGAGGAGAACTTGGCAGTGCATATTTACACATTAAAAAAAGAAAAGTGATATAAATAAACATCTTGATCTTGACACATGAGATCAATTTTAGCCAAATATGAGAAGTTTGGCGTAGATTTAATGTCCAAGTCAATACGTTCAGTTTGGTATGGATAAAATAGGGGGTAGACAACAAGGCATGAAGGGGCAGCGTATGTCAGGACCACTTCAAGAGCATTGAGTAACCTTAATCAGCGGAATCGCATTATATTTTGCATAGTAATACCTCAGCATCACCGTAATAGTGATTAGTCCTACATATAGGTCATAATAGTGGAATGATTGTTGAGTGTTCTCAGCCTCTGTTTTTTGGTACGTATGACGAGAATACATGCGCATTGCGGTATCATACACACACTCAACGATATAAAATTATTGAAAATCAGATATAAAAGAATATAAAAGAACAAAAAAAAATGGACTTGCAGGGAATCGAACCCTGGACCTCTCGCATTTGAGATGCTAAGCGAACGCTCTACCAACTGAGCTACAAGCCCATTGACCATGTATTGTGATTGTCGGAAGTGCCAAACTGAATTATGAGGCAACTACGTTGCCTGGTGGGAAAGGGGAAGGCATCTCAGAGGGAAGGAACGAAGGGCAAGTGGTACGTGCATGGTGTACAGACGTCTACTCCATGTCGTCCCCGACGCGTCTATGTCTACCTACGCCTTATCACGATCAATATATATAGGGAACGCTTTGACTGGTACGACTAGAGTGTTATTTCTCATCGATCTCTCTTAACCATCGAATTGTGCGATTCTTATTCCTTTCAATTATACAGTATTCTGCCATCGTTAGGCGTCTCGAGCCATCAAGTGTCAATACGCCAACCTAGTTAATTCAGAGAATCATAGGTTGATAAAGTCGATAGCCTTCCGAAACATATAATATACCGTGGTATAACCCTAGCTACTCCTTTGAGGGTAAATTTGCGTTGATTTCTCTCATCTTAGACAGCGCTTCCTCCTTGTGGGCATCTAGATCGATGCTGAGAAACTCCCAGCGTCCACCAAGAGCGCTTCTCAACCCATCAAGCGTCATAGCAACCTCCTTATTCTGGCCAGTGAATATCTCCCCTGTACCCCTGCTTGAGTCGATGACTCTCTGGCACCTCGGCCGCCTTACCGCGTCATACGCCTTAAATGCCGTACCTATCTCGTCCGCAGTAGAAATATTCGCAAGGAGCGTACCAAGAATAACGGCGTCTTCGAAGGCTTGTCCCGCACCCGCACCTTGCCACGGGGTTGTCGCATGAGCCGCATCGCCCATGATGCACACACGGCCATTGGCATAAGTTGGCGTCGCTTTATGCTCGTATTGCGAATAGCCCTGCGGGTCGGGTTGGTCGAGCAACAGCTGCATGCGAGTAAATTGGCCGTAATTAAGAATCTATAGTTTGCAAGAGAGAATGATGGCTTACTTCGATGATACCCTTCGATATAGACCCCTCAGGCCAAGACTGAAATGCATCGGCCAAAAACTCGCGCGTGAGAGGGTGCTTTCGGTTGGTAGGCGGGTTCTTTTCGACGCCTGATATAACACCTTGGACCATCGACCCATTTTCTAGTACATCGTGGAGCACAAAGACCCCGTCGCCAGCCCAGAGGTGCTGCCTTGGGACTTCGAAGTACCGCTCCCCGAGAACGGCCCTGGCCTTAGCAATGGGGACTACAATTCTACTGTCCCACTACGAAGGTGTAAGTTTCAGTTCATTAGGCTTGCTTTTCCTCAGGCTATGTGCATGTCGTGGGTGGATTATGCGCCATTCAACGTTCAACTTACCCATCCTCCTGGTGAGGCAGCACAACTCTCCGCTGCATCTTGCAAAACATACTTTCGAACAGATCCGAAGATGCCGTCGGCACCTATAATAGCGTCAAACCGAGAGGTTGTGCTATCTTGAAAAGTGAGTTCGACGCCATCGTGAGCTTCGGCGATCCCGGTAAGCTTCTTGTTTGAATGTAGATGCTCCTCGGGCAGCGGCACTAAGAGCTCTCGCAAAAGTGATGCACGATGAACAATCAACTCTTTATCATCAGGCGTCAGTTCAGCATCAAAATCAGCTACCAGAGAACCTGCGTCGGGTCCCGAACCCTTTTCCAAGATCAGCTCATCTTATGTCAAGTTCAGGGAGCGACACATCACGAACCAACATAATCCGAGTTGAATTGATGGGGACTGCACCCGCTTTGGCGAGTGTCTCGCGCGCTGCAGGTAAGATATGATGTAAAGCTATGCGGGCGTTTTCGGAAAGCCCAACAGCCGCGCCACGTTCTGAGAATTCCGGCGCAGACTCAAAAATGTGTGTTTCGAGGTGGCTGACGCCGAGAAGGGCGTTTGCCAGTGTTGCTCCGGCAAAGCCACCACCGACGATTGCTACGCGGATAGGTGCTGCAGCCATCTTGATTTACAGAGGATACGACAAATAGCAAGTAGTGAGAGTAGGGGCTTATCAAACAAATAGTTGGCAAAGTTGAAAGACAACTACAGGTATAGTAAAACCAACCCACCGATACAAGACACCGATGCAATGGGTCATCCTGCAAGGGGTGATAAAAACTACGTTTTCACATAGACGCCTATGCTTCAGTTTGTCTAACGAACTCCTACTCGACAGTAAGTAGCTAGAGAAGATATTTGATAAGATTCAAGCTTTTCTAATGTCGAAAGGTGAGATAACTTCATAAAGGTACTCTGTGATGACATTCTCTACGCTACTAGACGGTGATTGAAGCACTAGAAGCGTTGGACAAGATGATGTGAACATTTCGGAATAAATTGATGACGAATCAGTGGAACAAACATCTATGCTCAATATATTTAAAATTTCGCGATCGTTTTACGGATTAAGTACCTGATTAGAAGTAGACAAGATCTGAATGTTGGGAGAGAAGAATTGAAAGAAGTAAAGAAAAAAAAATTAAGTATTACGTACCCATTGGCAGGTCTAGCGGCAAAACGTAGGGAGATTGCCCACTACTGGAATCGAACCAGTGACCTCATCATCACTAACATAATTACTAGTGATGCGCTCTACCACTGAGCTAAGAGGGCGTAGTTTTTGATGGAAATCGAAACTGATTGGATGGTGAGATTGCTGCCCCAGAAGCCTTATGATAGCAGAGGCTGAGTCACGTGCGTTTTGTCGCTCTCGACCAATCAAGCACGCCTCAGCCCAGTCTCTTCCAGCGGTAGCCAGCGAATTAACGATCCGAAGGTCCGAAAGCGTGTGTTTACATCCAGCTACGGCAGGAAGGATACACCTCAATTACGTCTCTCGGCGGTGTCTCCCTAAGCTTGCCTCATGAGCCCGTGTCTATCGACATTGACACGTAGGGTTGAGATAAACTGGAACCGTCGCTCCCCTAGAACGAATACTACGATAGTGATGGCACTCTGTCTCAATATCGATGGAAATTGCAGAGGGTGATTCTTAGAGGAATTCGTAGGTATGATATATGCCACCGGAGGTGGGGGTCGAAGGCTACCCTTATCAACCAATACTTGCGTCCCTCCCGCGAGGTTTTTGAGGAACAAGAAATGGAATTGTATGGAAGAGATTTCTACAAGGTATGGCCGTCTACACATGGGAAAGGCGGTGTCTACCTATAACAACCTTAAGGGCCTACAGCGCCAGACTCAGATTGATCACTTTTCTGTCAAATTTTTTTGCTAAGAGGACCTCGAAGGACCAGCAAGAAACACTATCGTCAGCTTCATGGGAGAAGATTCGGCTCGTGCGGAACTTGTAGGAAGTAAAGTACGTACCTAGGACGGATACAAGGTTAAGTTGGATTTTATTAGGATCACGAAATCTAACTGTGAATACCCGAGAGAAAACAGGAAGCACTACCCGCCTCATATCTGTCTCCATCTACATTAATAACTTCAGGTCCCGCCGTCGTAGGTTTCCCACGTCAAACAGCTGTGTCCAACCGACACCACAGGTATATACAGCCAGACGCATTATGCCGTGTAGCTAGGCGGTGGCCTTCTCAGAATGATCACCTCCTTTCCCCAACGACTTCCTGAGCTCTTCCGTCTCCATCTCAACCTTCGAGTAGCGCTGCTGGGCTTTCTCAACGGCCGACTCCTGAGCCCTGACAGGTTCCTCAAGCTCGTTTACGCGGGGTATCCCACGTGCTTCCCTAGCAGCGTCTGCAGCCGCCATCGTCAGCTTTCGCTCCGTCTCGCTGATTTTGTCCTCCACCTTCTGCAGCACTGGTGTATTAAAACATGTCGTGTTAGCATTTTTATCCTTCGTTTCTGGAATATACCAGCTACTGCCTTCCTAATCCCGATAACGACGAAATAGGAACGCTTAACTTACTATTATAACGTTAGCTAATTCATATATTGTAAAGATATAGGGGTTTCTCTAGAAATCAAGGTCTAAAATGCTAGAACGACATGTTTTTATACTCACCGGGCTTCACTAGCGTCTAGATTCTTCTTGAGCTTGTCTTGCAGCCTTATAATCTTTTTGAGCTGCATGTCTCTGAAGCTTGCTGCCATGGTGTAGTTAGGTCAAGAAAGCCTTGTCACGATGCTAATATGATGATAGTAGGGATGCTGACGTCGCACTGTAAATGCCACTATATCTCGAATGTGATGTCTTTGGTGTTATTAATAATTCGGTGATGATTTTGCGGTCGGCAGCGTACTCGTTGCTCATTTTTCATTATCCGACCATGCTTTATATGTTCTCTTAGGCTTCAGATATCAAACATCTCTTTCTACAACGACTACCTAGGAGGTACCTATGTAAGAGGGCTACGTCACTCGAGACTTGACACATATAATACATGTACTCATAACTTTTCCAAACGATGAATCATAGTCATAGAACGTAGCGTCACTTAGGTATCCAATGCTACATTGAGGGGCTAAAGCTTGATAGCAAGTTTGCTCATGTTGGGCAATATTTTATAGACCCTGAGGAAACGTCAAAAATGTTTGAAGGTTCACCCATTGATAGATACTGAATCAAACGCCGACGTAGGATGGCTATCATATACACACAGACGCTATTTTCATAATAGTTAAGGGGGTACCAAGAATTTATCGTTCCACCCCCAATATAAAGCCACTTCACCTAATTCTTACTCTTAACATTGGGAGTTCTTGGGGAGGCGGTTCGACCTAGTTCCATAAGCAATTTGCGCGCCGACGTTAGTGCCAAGTCAATCCCGAACTTCTCTACTTGCCATACTACGTGCGTCACTCTCTGACTTGAAGCTAATTGTCAAACAAGGGCACTGAATAGAAATTATATTCCAATTAATATTGCATAGGTACTTACCTAAGGTATCCAGCTCACTAAAGAAATCTGAGATGCAAGCGACCACAAACCATTTATCATTACCGACTACGTCAAACGGAGTAACATATTAAAACACGTCAATCTCTGACACATTTAACCTGGTCATGGTGAGAAACGTATATATTCCATGATTCATATCAATGTCTATTCATCTAGTAGCTTCCAGCAAGCTATGCTAAGACGAAGCCCATTCTATCAATGCCATTCAACCGCCCTGTCTACATTAACGCCTGTCTTAAAACCATCTATGCATCGTTGACTAAAATGCCAATCTTTCCCAAGCATTCTCGATTCTCTATCGATAGCCCGATCTAGGGGGGCAAACAAGCCCAAAAGTGAAAGCCGCCAACCGCTACACAGGAAACGCGTATCAAATCGTTTAAAGGACCGTTTGAAGAAGTACGAACTAAAATTTACTCCTCGTCGTCCGTATCCGGCGGGTGGGGAGTGCCCTTGGGACTGTTGAGCCATTCGATGTGACGAAGTCTTCTTCGGACCTCCTGCTCCTTCAGTTCCTTCTTGGTCTTCTTCCTCTTCTTCTTGGCCTTGAACTTCAGAGGCGTATTATCTTCGACGCCACTGTTGACGGCACTGCTCACGGCGCTGCTGGCCGCCGTACTATTAACGCCGCTAGTGATGCCGCTGGTGAGACCGCTACCCGGTCTGCTATCCTCGAAACGATCAAGGGCAATTGAAGCATTGCCTTTCAAGACCATACGCCCGTCGTTTATGTGCCATTGTTCGTTGGCGAGGGCACCGACGAACTCTTCGTTGTGGGAAATCATGACGACACCGCCCTTGAAGTCGCGAATTGCAACCGCGAGACCACCGAGAGAGTCACGGTCCAAGAAATTAGTAGGCTCGTCGAGCACAAGCAAATGCGGGTTGTTCCACATCGCACCCGCAATAACGACCTTGACCTTCTGGCCTCCCGACAAGCTGCCAATTTCGTTGTGATTGGCAATTTCGGGGTCGAGACCAAGATCCTCGAAGTGCTTGGAGATGACCGTGGGTTGAAGCTCTCGGTAGCCGAGACCTTCACGGGACGCCTCGTGATCGTCAAATTCCTGTACAAGCTTGTCGAAGCCCCATTCGATAAGGGTCTCTCGGGACACTTGCGAGTTGTACTTAGGTAGCCAAGCTCTCCATTTCCTGCAATTCGTTAGCATTAATATTCTCGAGGAGAATCTCAAAGGCCAGCTTACACTTCGTATTGGAATGTTTTCTTGTACTTTTGCCGACCGACAAGAGCCTCGATTTGTCGCTCGCCCTTTCCATCGCCGAGATCAATTCGCTTGTCCATTTGTTCTCGATCCTTATCGGAAAGAATACGAGTCTGCTTGAGGAAGACCTCTCTGTCGTCTCCATTGGCATATCGCCATTGCAGGTACTGATTCGGCGTCTTCTCAAGGTGCATTTCCACGTGTTCGAGAGCATGCTGCTTGATGTAACCGATTCGTAGGTTGGGATGCTTCTCGACCTTTCCGCTAGTCGGAATTACTTCACCTGTCAACAGCTTGATCAAAGTTGACTTTCCAGCACCATTTGGTCCAATCACTGCAACACGGGAAGAAAGAGACAGCTGGCACGAGACGTCGCTGAGCGATGGTTTGGGCGCCTTAGGATACTGGTAGGAGACGCCAGTCATACGAATGATGGCTCGCGTTTGAGATTTGACACCAGACAATATGCCGGGAGGCGGGAACTTGAACTGGACGTTGGAGGCGGAAAGAGTGTAATAAGCCTTCGCTTCGGGACGAACCTTGACGAACTCTGAGAGGTTACCCTTGAAATGGCCTAACTTCTTTCCGGGCTCGTAGTGGTAGATATCAGTTGTCACATTATCCAGGAAGCTCGAGTCGTGAGAAACGATCAAGCTGGTGATATCGGTGTGGGTCTTTAGGTAGTTCTCGAGCCATGCAATATTGGCAACATCCAAGTGATTGGTAGGTTCGTCGAGCAGTAGAACGTCGGCTTTCTGAAGCATAGCTCGGGCAAGAGCGAGCTTCATCTTCCATCCTCCAGATAGAGAGCCAACCTTTTGGGATTGCCTGCCCTCGGGACCTGCTGTAAAGCCGAACTCGGCCAAGACCTCAGAGATTCGTTCTCTACCTTCGGATGCAATTGTTGGGTCCTTGACCATGAATTCCAGGATGCTGATATCGGCATCCTCTCCTTGGTTGTGTTCAACGTAACAGGTGCGAAGCACGTCTTGTGGTGGGAAACCTTCCAACTTGCCGCCAGCGATACTCTTCATCAGAGTAGACTTGCCGGCACCATTGCGACCGCAAAGGCCGTAGCGGTGTCCCTTCAATAGCCGAAGATTGGTGTGAGACAACAGCAGCATACCGCCGTAGGCCAATGAGAAGTCTGCGTTGACAATCTCAATCTCCCCATCGTCCTCCTTCTCCGGTACACCATATTTGCGGTGATCCTCAGCAACGTAGAATTGGTGAATCGCCGAAGCGACGGCATCATTGGCACCAGGTTGATGCATCAAGTCCTTTAGGTAAGGCGCAATCCTAGCAGGAATGCGATCGACTTGGCGGTGGTTGGCATCTTCGGCTACCATCTCACAGATGTAAGGTCGGGCAATTTTGTAGAACTCCAAATCGCCTACGAGTCCTCCGTTCTTCTTAATCTCGGAATCAAGAACCTTTGCGACATCATCTGCAGAAGTTCTCTCCACGACTGCTTTATCATTACCCATAGCCTTATCCATAACATCGAG